AGCAACAAATCTGAGATTCAAACTTGAATCTTCTGATTTCTATTTTTTGTCTTATACCAGCTATTCTTTTCACATCTGCTTCCTCCAGGTTGGTTGGTTTGTTAGGACATAGCAATAGTATATGACACTCAAACAAAGTAAAATAATACCCCAAGAATTAAGAGGTTCAACATTCATATTTACACTCACTTTGACAACTTGGGAATTGAATTATATGTAGGTTCTGTATAAAGTACATCCAGGCAGCTCTGTGGATATTGCAACAGAGATGGCTGGTTGCTTTGTGAGCACTGAGCTTAGAAATGATGCTATACTAAAAATGGAAGAGAAAGAAATTTAAAAAATTATTGTAAAGTCCTCAGATTGAAAAACAACAGAAACAGCTCTAGAATATAATTAGTCTGGGAGGAAGCTAGGGTAGATGCAGGTGGAGAGAGGGAAAAGCTTGGAATCTCATTCTAATTCTACTAAAGGTAAATGCAAATAAATATTCTATCCACTCCCCAATCCACTGGGCAGTTTATTCATACAAAAGAAAGTGAAAGTTGCATGAAAATGATAGTGAATTGTACTGGGTGTGTTTAAAATCTAATGCAGAAGTTAGTGAAAGAAAAATGACTTAGAAGGAAAAAAAGCACTACAAAATGTAAGTAAAATTTTTTTACATATATCCTTCCATTTCCAACATTTCCATCCAAACATTGTTTTCCATAGTTATTAGCTATGGAAATTAATACCCCTATGTATGTATCATGGATGTCAGCATGCCCTAAAAACTGAATTCTAATGATATGTTTCAGTGTCTAAGGTCAGGTTTGAGACAACATACCTAAATACAGTAAGAAAACTTCCTTTACTCATCCATCACCTTAGATACTTTATAGAGTAATATTATTTTGTAGTCTTTAATACTCTGATAAGAGTAGCTGAGGAGCTCTGAACAGTACCTAATATTATTTATATTTGAAAGGTTATTTTCACTTAATTATTTTTTTTGGAGGGGAAAGAGGCATGTATTTGCCCATATGTGTATATATATATATATATATATATATGGATAGATAGATATAATATATATATTCATTAATCTACTAAAACTCAAGTAGATTTAAAAAAACACCATGAATTTAATTTTTATAAAAAAGTACCTTAGACCAATGAAATAAATGTGGATTCCAAATAAAAACAATCTTAATCTTACAAAGTAAAAAGATAAGGCAACATGGCAGGTTTTATATACCAAAGGGTATTTCTGGCAGTAAATAATAGATTGTGAAAAAACAAAATCAAATCAAAACTAAAAAGCTCCAACCAACCTAGGATTCCAAGGTAAATTTCCATAACCAGAGTATTTCCTTCATGTATATGTGTGTGTGCGTGTGTGTTTGTATGTGTGTGTGTTTCTGAGAGATATTTTACTTTCTCTTCTATTTTTTCATTCTCTTGATTTTGTTTTATGATTTCTTGGTGTCTTAGAACATCATTAACATCTTCTTTCCCAATTCCAGTTTTCGAGGAATTATTTTCTTCCTTAAGTTTTTGATTCTCTATTTCCAGTTGGTTGACTTTCTTTTCATAATTTTCTTGATTTTCTTGGATTGCTCTTATTTTTTCCCCTAATTTTTCCTCAATTCTCTCTTATTTGATTTTTAAAGGTCTTTTAAAGGTCTTCCAAGAACTCTTTCTGTGCTTGTGACCATTTGACATTTCTCATTTGAAAAAGGAGTGACTTTTTTAGCTCCATTATCTTCTTCTGAATATGAACCCAGATCTTCTCTATCACCATAATAACTATCTATGGTTGAGTTCTTTCTCCTTTGCTTAACTCATTTTTATTTATTTTTTGTTTTATTTTGCTTTTAGCTGTTACTAGTGTAATCAAGTTGCAGTCTCAAGGTATGGGGAATGATGTCCCATGCCTCAGGTCCTTCTTACTGTTATATTCTGAGGTCTTTCTTGTGGCCCATCCATGGGCTCTCCTCTCTACTCCTAAGCCAAGGTGAAGGCCCCCAGCCAGACTCTTGCGAAAATGATCTTGTTCTCTGTGGTCTCTCTGATGGCTGAAAACTACAGATGTCCTCTCTGCCCTGGAACTGAAACCAGGGACTCTGCTCTCCTGCAAGTGCCCACAACCAGCAGGGTTCCCACACTGTCAGTGAGATGAGAATTTCTAACCCCAGCTGCCCCCAGGGCTTGTTGTTCGTTGATTCTGCAGAGTTGTCCTGGATGTGTTTGCACTTCACTTAGGCTGGACTTCTGCCCTTGGAGGTCAGGTCTTTCTTGTGGTCTTCTGAAGTTGTCTTAGAACAACCGCTTTATGCTAACATTTTTTATTTCTGCTGCTCTATGTTCCCACTGAGGCAATGTTCTGTCATTTGTTGTGAAGGAAATTTGGAGAACAGAAAGTTTTCTGACTTATTCCACCATCTTCCCAGAATCCTCTCCCCCTTTTTTAAATAATAAAATTAGAAATTTGAAAATAAAAATAGTTCTTGGTATAGAAAAGACTGCTTCTAAATCGCTGGACAGCTAAGTAAAATTTTTTAAAAAGATAAACACTGTGTGGTTTTCAATGTAGCCTACTTTTTTTTTTTTGGTAGCCAGACACATATCTTTAATCTCACGTGTCACTCCATATGAACTCACTTGGGGATCTCATAAGCTCCCGTGGATTCAATTATCATCTCTGTGCTTATGATTCCAAGATCTATATGTCCAGCCCTTGTGTCTATGTTGCAATACAATCATTCATTTCCAAATGCCTCTTGGACATCTCAAATTGGATGTCAGGTAGGCATCTCATATTCAATATTTCCAGACAAAACTTATTATTTCTACCTACCTCCCAAACTTCCATACTTCCAATCTTCTTAGGTCAAGGGCACCAACTTCCTCCTAGTCACCCAGGCCCATCCAAGTCATCCTTGGCTGCTCATTTTCACTCGATCAATAAACATTTATTAAGCATCTATTATGTGTCAGGCACTAAGGTAAGTACTTCATTCACCCCATATATCCAAATCATTGACAAAACTCGTTTCTACCTTCATAACATCTCTCCTTTATATCCCCATCTCTTCTCTCATGCAGCCACAACCTTAGTTCAGGTCCTCACCATCTCTCCCTGGACTATTATAATAGTCCAGTTTTCCTACCTCAAAGTTTTTCCGCTTCAATCCTTTTCATCACTCATCTGCCAAGCTAATTTTTCTAAAGCTTAGATCTTAACAATTTCACCCCTCTTCTCAAAGAGTTCTTGTTGTCTCCTTGTTACCTCCAGGAGGAAATGGAAACTTCTTTTTTTGCCATGTTTTTTTATATGTAATTGGACCCCTTCCTACCTTTTTATTCCCTCCCTAATCCTCCCCGCCATGATCCAGCTACCTACTTGCAGTTCCTCAAACAGGGACACTCCACCCCCCCCCCCAACTCCATAACTTTGCAGTGGCTTGTCTTCCACGCCTGGAATGCCCTTACCTGGTTTTTTCAACTCTCTCTGCCTCTGTCTGTGTCTCTGTGTCTTTCTCTGTGCCTCAGTCTCTCTTTCTTTGTCTCCTCTCCCCTCTCCCCCATAAATACACACATCCAGCTACTAGTGTCTTCCTCTTTGAGAAGACCTTGATCTACTCTGTATGGAATATGGGCTCCTTGAGAGCAGAAAATGTGTGTTTTCTTTTTCACCTTTCTTGGTATCCTCACATACCACATACAGACTCAGGCACACCTTAACCTACTGAAATTCTCAATTAAATTCAAATTGATGTATAGAATCTTAAGATTTAAAGCCAGAAGACAACGGAGATAACCAAGTTCCAACCCCACACTTTGCAGATGAGGAGATTGAAGTCCAGTGGGGAGAGGTAATTTACTCAAGGTAATGAAAATAATAAGGAACACATGGTCAAAAAAAAAAAAAAGACACCGACTTGCCCTCACAGTGCTTACACATTACAGGCTGATGTAAGGAGCTATTGTGCACCATAGTGAAATAAGATGAAATAAATAGATAAAAAAAGACATAGACCCTGCTCTCTTGCTGTTTTTCTCCTTTTCTTATTCCTCTCCTCTCCTGTCTGCATGTGGGCCTTTCTTTTCTCATGTTTTCAACCTCTCCGTCTGAAGGACACCAATATTCAACAGATACATAATTTTGTTGTCTTTATGCAATCAAGTTTTGTACTCTTTCTTCTCAATTTTTCAATGGGGGAGCTGAACATATGATAGCCTTGCTTCCCTGCCCTCTCCCACCCCCATCTGGGCCCCCAGCCCAGGAAACTAATTAAAAGGAATTTTCCCTTGTCTGTGATAGGATTGGAGCCCGCCTCCCCCAAGTGCGTTAGTCTTCCTTAACAGAAAAAAAAAAACCAAACCCAAGAAACAAGAAAACCCAATGTCTCCAGCCTTGACCCAAAGGCTGCCTGCCCCTAGGCTCCAGCCCTGGGATCCCAGGGGAGGAGCTGTTCAGGATTGCGCACAAACCCCATTCTCACTTGTGAAGAAAATCGGGCAGCTTTGGGGTGGTTAGGAAGGAAAGCCTGTTTTGGCTAGACGCTCCCCCCAGGGCGCCGGCGGGGGCCACTGGCTGCTGGGGGGCGGGAAGAAGCGTGTCCTGAGCGGAAGGAGGCTACTGCGAGCTGGGGGGGCTGGAGATGAGAGGGGCGGGGCGGGACGGGACGCGGCAACTTCGCTCTGCGGCCACTTGGGTACTAGAAGCAGCGGCGGCGGCGGCGGCAGCAGCAGCAGCGGCAGCAGCAGCAGCAGCGGCACCAGCAGCAGCGGCAGCAGCAGTTGCGAGAGCTGACGACGGACCCTAGATCCCAGCGGAACCGGGATCTTTAGGCGGTAGAGAAGCACAGCCATCTAGCGCAGCCCTGCAAGCAAAGACCCCCGAAGTTCTGGGGCTTCCGACAGGCGAGGCCGGGCTCAGACGCCCCGTATCTTCGTGCCCCCCCTCCCCAAATGGCTGAGCTTCTGGGCTCTGGCCCTGGCTTCGGGCAGGAGGCTAAGTGAGGACCCCAGCCCAGCAGCAGCCGGAGCGCAGCGTTAGGGGAGTGCGGGAGAGGACTCCATGGGTAGCGCAGACCGACATGGTGATGGACATCAACAGCAGCGGCGGCGGTGTCTCGGACCCAAGCTACTACAGTAGCCTCCGCTCCTTCCTGCTGCAGGAGGTGGGACAAGGTCTCCGCGACCTGAGCCCCGACGGCGGCGGCGGTGGCAGTGACGGGATGATCTCGGGCTCCTGGGAGCCGCGTCTGCTGCAGGTGATCCAGGAGGTCACGGCCAGTCCGGAGCCAGGATTCCTCCCAGGCAACAACACCGGCTGCGGGGAGCAGATCAACTACGGCAACACCGAGAAAGTTGTGATCGGGGCCATCCTGTCCCTCATCACGCTGCTCACCATCGCGGGCAACTGTCTGGTGGTGATCTCCGTCTGCTTTGTCAAGAAGCTCCGTCAGCCCTCCAACTACCTGATAGTGTCGCTGGCCCTGGCCGACCTCTCGGTGGCCGTGGCTGTCATGCCCTTCGTCAGCGTCACGGACCTCATCGGAGGCAAGTGGATCTTCGGACACTTCTTCTGCAACGTCTTCATCGCCATGGACGTTATGTGCTGCACGGCTTCGATCATGACCCTCTGTGTGATCAGCATTGATAGGTAAGCAGGAGGCCAGCGGGAGCCTGTCGGCGCCGTCGGTCAGGAGCCACTGGAAGGTGGAAGTAAATGCCCGCTGGCCCTTCAGGGATGCAGTCAGACTCAGGCTGTACAGTGGAGTAACTGGATCTGGGGAGGCTGCAGGGTAGGATTGAGAAATGGGTTTTCCCCATTTACTTAACACACACACACACACACACACACTCACACCACTTCCCTCCCTCTCCTCACCCAACCCAAAATGAGTCCTTTCAGTTTTCCACCAGAGGTCTCTTTTTCCCAGTGCTTTCAGTACAAACAGCAGTCAGTAAATAAGTTTATTTAAAAAAAGAAATAGGTCAAGAAAAGACTGCAATCCTAAACATTTGTATAATCAATCCATCTCCAGGGACCAATCTGTACTCACTAAGCTATCATCTGGGAAATGGTGAAAGCAAAACTTTCTGAAGCTTTGGCATCAACATCACTGTTGATTTAGCGTAACATTCTTTCCATCGCACTGTTGTAGTGATTGGTAGTACTGAGCTCATGTATTGCAAGTTTTCCCACTAGAAACAGAAGACTATATACTCATGACTACATCATTGGCTAAGCAGAATTTCTTGGCTCCAGCCTTATAGTGTCATTTCCCTTGTGATCATTCTCAGTGAGCTTCCCATCACTGGAAGTGTTCAAGCAAAGACTGGATGATAATCTGTTAGGGATGCTGCATTCCAGCATGGGGGTAAGCAGTCATCCCAAAGGATCTTTAAGGAATTTTACAAAACTAAGTTTCCATGATCCTAGAATTCTTTGGACCTAGAATTATCTTTAAAATGAGGAACATGGAGTACTGGAGTCATTCATTGATTCAAACATTTATTTAGGACCTGCTATGTGCAAGGCCCTGTGTTGGGCACTGGGGGAAGTAGAGGGACTAAATACAATATAGTCTCTGCAGTCATGTGCATTGCATGAAGCTGTCTCACAGAGGAGATAACATGTATATGGGGGACATATATTGTAATACAAATTAGTTGGTGACAAGTATGTAAAGAGAATTACAAGGAGGGAAGGATAGTCTTTTGGCCCCCAAATAATTTAGCATCAAGATATAATTGTTTTCTTAGAACTGCATTTGCTTTTGTTAGTACAGTGCTTGGTATATAGTAGGTGCTTAATAAATGCTTGTCAATTAAAAAAACTGCAGTGAACTAATTTTGTGCTTTTAAAGTATTTTTTTCCCTGAGGAAGGCTATTAATTAGAACTGCTTTTTACTTAAGAATGGTAAACCCTTAAAATTTTCAGAACTACAAACATTTGAGAAATAAATTGATGCCTTTAGAGCTCCTCTGGGATCTTATGCTTTATGATGATTTCTCTCAATTTTGTTTTAAAAAATAAAGTTCCTTATCTGTTGTTGATGTTGGACACATTTTAGTTATGTTAAGCTTGCCCAAAGTTTATAATTACCAAATGAGGAGAAAGATAGAAAAGGGTATCTTTTATAGAAAAAAATGAGTTCTATAGTTAGGAAACTAGATTTAGGAAAAAAAAAACCTTTCTCTCATTTTATAATTATAGTAGAAGCTTCTGATAGAAAAAAAAATAATTATTTTAAGAGTACTGCATACACTTGAAATTTAGCTCCCAGCTTGGAATATAAAGTTTTGAATTGCTATAGTTAAGAATGATAAGACACATATGAGTATATGGTATTAACTGTGTGTGGTAACAGTATTGACCACTGCTCCAAAAAATATAAGTGAATTTTAAGGGCAGTAGCTTGACAACTGTACAGGCCAAAAAAATTATCAGTAAGACTGAGTCCTCTTAAAGGTAATTGAAGTACAGTCAGATATAAAAAATTCATCCAGCAAATGCTGTGCTTGTAATCTTTTTTCATTACATAATTGGTAAAAAGCTATGCACTCATCTCATTATGTATATGCAGCAGTAACACTGTTCTTTTGGCACAACCAGTTGATGTTTGGAGCACCCTCTGAGTGCTATACTAACCGAAGATATTCTTCACTCAATATGCAAGGGTAACTTTTGGCATTAACAAGAATGTAGTCAGCTAGAGAGGAGCTTGGCTCTCCTTAGCAGATCCTCTGATGTATTCTTGTGTCATTGGGCATCTGAAGTCTTCTGTTCATGGCATGAGCTGATGCTCCAAAGAGAGATGAGCTGTCACCCCACAGAGGGGAGGCAGCCTTTCAATGGGGAATTTTGACTAAAAATTGTTGACTATCCTTTTTGAATCTGAGGATTCTGACTTTAGTTGAGCCTGAGGTATTGATGAAATCAGAAGAGTCAAACTACTTATTTTCTTGGACTGCACTGGGTGAAAAATATAAAACGCTCTTTTCTGTTTCTTTCTTGAAATGAATTATTTCTAAAGGGAGTATTTTTCAAAGGTTTGCTATCACCTACCTTTTAGAAAAATGGCAGTTGTTAGCAAATGGTCTATAAAATAGAAATCTGAGGAAAATACATCACTTCCACAGTGTGTTGTAATGCAGAGATAATGAAGCTGCCACTTTCTTTTCAAATGCATGGATGAATTGCCTTGTAATTCCTCACTCCTCCCTTTTTTGTGCCTTTTGAAGGGCTTCTGGCCTAAACAACAGGACTCAAGTAAGAACATATTGAAGATATTCCCATTATGTGTGAATTGATTAATATATATATATATAAATATATCTATCACATAATATAATTATATATAATATAATTATATATAGAATTTATTTAGTTGCAGGACTTGGAATCTGATGAGCTCTGCTGTTGATTCTTCCTGGTTGTATAATCATGAACAAGTCACAACCTCTCCGAATTTCAGTTTCCTCAGCTGTAAAATGGAGATAATAATGCCTGTAGTACTTGTCTCACAGGGTTTTTGTGAGGATCAAATAAAGTAATGTGTGGAAAGCTTGCTCTGCAAGCTTGAAAACATTATGTAAATGTCAGATCTTAAAGCATTCTCTATCCTACAAACAGACATTCTAAGAAATTCAAAGATACTTGTAGAAGAACACAATCTTTCTGGGAATATTTCTCAACTGCTGAAGAGGAAACATACCCCACTAATTCTGCTTTAAACATAGTTACCTTCTACCCCTAGACCTCCCTTACAAATGGGAAAGACTGATTCTAGGCTACTATTGGCTTGACAAGTCATTGATTAGGTGAAGACTTTAGAGAAGGCGTTCCTTAACCTGGTGTCTGTGAACTTGCTTTTCTTTCTCCCATATTTCGATAACTGTATTTCAATATAATTGATTTCCTTGGCAAGCCTACATATTTTGTTTTATACATTTAAAAACATTATTCTGATAAGGAATCCATAGAAGTCTATCAGACTGCCAGAGGGGTCCATCACACACACACACACACACACACACACACACACACAAACAGAGGTTATGAACCTCTGTCATAGAGGCCCAAAGCTATCTCCCCTGAATGGAATTTCTGATCCTAAACTGGGCAGATTGAAAGCATTTGCTGGTATTTTTTTTTCTACATGCATATTGATTCTAGAAATAGGATGAGTGAAAGAACCTGATTATTTTAGTTTTATCCGGAGCAAATAATTTCCAGTTTCATAAGCAGTCCTTCCATGTATTAGAGGCACAGTTGAGTAATGAGTGATAGAGATTCTACCCAAGTCCAGAAGACCTAGGTTGAGTCCTCCCTCTGACATGTGCTGGCTATATGACCATAAGCAAGTGATTTAACTTCTCCAGGTCTCCAGGAAATCCTCTAAGACTATTAATTACAGATGAATTGCTATTCTGCGTAGGTGAATTCCCGGAATACTACCAACTCCCCAACTCCCCTTCTGCTCCTCCCCAACTCCCAACATTCCTTGTGTTTTCATTTTTACAAGTTTCTGATCTAACTAATTTGGAAAAGCTGTCTTGACCTTTGGAAAATGCAGTTTTATGTGGTAATGGACTTGAGCTGATGCCTAACTCTCTCTGTGCTTCCTTGGAAGCCAGGTACTGTGAGTCATTCACTTGGATTATTGTTTTGATGTTTCTGTTCACTGTCCTATTGTGCTCTGCTGGGCAGTGAGCAGTCTTTTTATCTAGCTCCCTGAGATAGCCTTTCTTTTGCAATTCAACTGTCCATATGCACCTTCAAAATGAGTTTTCAGCTTGTACACACATTTTTAGAGAAACTGAGAAACTTGTTAAAGCAGTAATACAGGATAGGCTATTGAGAAGAGGGAGCAAAAGAAAAATAGTTATAGAATGAGCAGGCGACTTCGATGTCCAGGAAGGGTCATTGGATTTAGAGTCTGACGGCCTCAGTTTGAATCCTAACGTCTACTTACTGTGTGACCTGAGGCAAATCACAATATCATCTTTATGAAGTCATTAAAATTCCTCTCTGGGCCTCAGACACTCCATCTGAAAAATGGGAACAATAACACTTCCACCATCTACCTAACAGGGTAATTGTGATGAAAGGGATTTGGGAACTCTAAAGCACTAAACAGATATAAAATGTTGCTACTACTACCATCAACCCCACAGGGCTTTCTGAGATTAGAGTCAGCTAGTATTTATATAGCCCCAGGTGAGTTGTGAAAGGCTACACAAATGCATCTATTATTATTTGGCCTCTGTTGTGTTATCAAAAAGGTTAATAGATTTAAAGTCAGATGGGAATTTGGAGGACATTTATTTAGACCAACTTTTCTTTTTACAGAAAAGGAAACTGAGACTTAGTGAGGTAAAATGAATTATCCAATAGCATGATCAGGTCATGAATTGGGATTAGAGCTAATTCAAATCACTCTAGACCAGAGGTGAAACTCGGTCAGTAGGTAACATGTGGCCTAAAACAGATTAAAAAATATAATCGGGAAATTTTTTAATAAAATAAATAAAAATAGAATACAGCATAGTTAATGTTAATTTGTGGTTTTCTAAGTCCATAGGTGTCTAGCAGGGAGCCTTTTCCATTTGAGTTTCACACTATTGGTCTAGATCATTAGGGCTGGAAGGCT